TGGGTACTCTGTGACTTTTAGTTTAGATGATTGTACCTGCTTATAATGAGCCAAAACCTTTCCTCCAAGTGTTGCTCAACATGTAACGCATTTGAATGGAGTTTTTGCAGTAAGCTTCCACAGAAATATCCTGACTGTTGGAGTTGTGCGTCTTCCAGGCCCTAACGGAGTACAGAGCCGAGCTGAGGGACGACCCCATCATCAGCACTCACCTGGCCAAGCTGTACGACAACCTGCTGGAACAGAACCTCATCCGAGTCATCGAACCCTTTTCCAGAGTACAGGTACGGACGTACTGGGCATGTTATAATGGTATTATTCAGTAGAACCATGCTGCGTTTTATTACCAGGTCCTAAATCTTTCTTTTCCCTTGTTCCCTAGCATTTTAACAAATATTTAATCTCTTTCTCCTGTTTTCAGATGGAACACATATCGGGTCTAATCAAACTGTCAAAGGTATGTATATTTGCAGTTAACCAATTCTTCCTTAGTTTTAAAATCATCATCATTTATATCTCTTTAAAATGTGGGTTTTATTATCTTTTCTTCTCTTTTCATAGGGTGATGTTGAGAGGAAGTTATCACAGATGATTCTGGACGAAAAGTTTCACGGTAATTGGTCTGATCCGATAAAAAGAAATACCAGACGTGTGTACTTCACAGGCAGATTAAGAGTCTTCAGTGTACTGTGATATATTCCTGTGCAGGCATCCTCGACCAAGGCGAAGGTGTCTTGATCATTTTCGAAGAGCCACCGGTGGACAAAACATACGGAGCAGCCTTGGAAACAATTCAGAACATGAGCAAAGTCGTGGATTCACTTTACAACAAAGCCAAGAAGCTCACATAGGTAAAAGAATATCTAAATATATATATAATTAAGAGAAAACGCGTTGTTTCCTGCTCGTTCTTCAGTCTCTACTAAATGGTTTGTCTCTCGTCCTCAGAGCAGATTTCCGCGGCAGTGCGATGGAGGATCTGTGTGGGTTTGACCAGCGTGAGTAACATTTTAAGAAGGGGACGAGGGAGAGCATCGAAAACGTCCCGCAAACTGCAACAAACAGGATCCCC